TTAAAGTCTAATATCATTCTTGCCCTGTATGTATTACAATTTTGCTATGAATTAGATAAGTAGTGTTAAATATACTAATCATAAATGTATGTAATTCATTATAGTAAAGGTAATATTTAAATGAAGATTGCTTGCCATATGTATTTTGAAATTGTTGTTGTTGATACATTAATTAATTTTGTTAAAGCGCTGCTAGTACTTATTTTGGAAAACTAAATGAGAATCATGTTATTGGGATTTTTATATCCTTTAAAACAGATATTTTTCGTATTTTTGTTTGTCGTAATAAACTATTCTGAAGTGGCAATTTTAACAATAAACATTAATACCTGGTTTGTGAAACACTGATCATTGTAGATATCAACTAATCTGCTATCAAATGGCTTTGCAAATTGCATTTTAGTTGCCAAAAAGATGGTTAACCTCTTTTAATTGTTCATATGGAACAGTCATTAATATAACATTTTTCGTATTCTTTAAAATTCATATTAAAATGGTCTATGATAACTAACATTCATAGAAAGTGAATTTATTATTACTCTGTGGTGTTAACATTAACAATTAGCTTTTAAATAGATTATTTAAGTAATTGAAAATGTGTGTATTATACCTGTTTACATAGAGTAGGTATGAAAATGTGCTAGAATTGAATCTCTGGAGTCTGAGTCTGTATTAAAATGTAATGGCATAGACCAATGAAATTTTATACTATAGATATGTATATACGCATACAGAATAACAGGTCGATACTGTTCCTATTTCTAAACGGAGTAACAGTACACATTTACATGTGTTGAATGGCATAAGTAGGATAGCGTAATTAAAGCAATAAGAAAAAAAGAGGATGGCATCGTCTTTCTCGTCCCCGTTAAACTTATTTGCTGCCTCTTTTTTCTTTGTTGTCATGGCTTCACTCCGGCGCGTTAACAACATAACTGTAGCATAAAAGTTTCATTTTCATAGACTTTATGTTGTTTCTTGTATTTGCGAATAATTGTGGATATTTATTAAATTGATGAATCAATTAAAATTGTTGTCTCTTTTATTTAACATGTTTATAAAACTCTAGTGAAGAAATAGAATGAAGTCATACAAATGCAGGTCGCTATATACCCACTTGCATTGATCGCACCAATAGCAGTACAGCACAAATATTTTATTCAAAAGTAAAGTAACAGCCTATACATGTCCCACTGCCGGGCAAAGGCCTCCTCTTTAGAGAGGGTATCAGGGCATAGTCCACCACGCGGCCCCACTGCGTATTGGCGGACTTCACATATCTTCGAAATATATTTTTTTTGTTATTATTTCCGCATTTGTTATTATATGCAGGTTTCCTCACGATGTTTTCCGTCACCGCGGAGCACGTGATAAGTCAGCACTTAAAGTTAAAAAACTTCATTGGTGCCGGCACCGGGGATAGCTCAGGAACTCAGGTAGCTCTAGTATATTGAACTAAAGGCTAGCGCCCGGACACTGAGCTATCACGGCTCATAATATTTTATTCATCTCTTTCTAATTACAAGTAATTTGTATGATATTTATGTGAACATATTAATGTAATGTAACATATTTATGTTATCTCTTTGCTGGCTTATTTTATACTTGAATTGGTTAGTACTATTCATTACACATCATATAAAGTATCAATTTTAAGATCCATATTTGTTTCTGAGCTATCCCTTTCTAACATCCCATACCTGAGTGTGGGTTCCAAAATTTTCAAATGCTCTGTATGCGTCATTGGCTTGAAAATTTCCGTTGCGACAACTTGTGCTAATTAAGTGCGTAATCTGTTTAAATACTTTTTAAAAATTATTGGAAAAAGTGAAGTGAAATATGATCTACACGGAAGATGCACAATGCACAAGTATTTTACAAGTTTAATGAAATATAAGCTTAACAGATGTGCGAAAAAGGTAGCGATATAAGGTAGAAAGGGAGGTAAGGTACAATATAAACAGGAAATGCCCATGTCACTATATTAAGTAGTTAAACGCAGGCATGAGCACATGCGTGGCCCTACCCACAGCGGAGGGCCCAAACCCGTGGGTTCTGACTAGCCCACCGGTTCTGCGTCAAATGAAGTTTTAATAGACTCGGGACTGAAAGCAAAAACATCAGTTAATACAAGATACTATATTAAGTAGGTACCTAGATTAATTTGCATTTTATTTCAGGTAAAATGCGAAATAGATTTCCTTATTAATATTTATTATACACATTTTGTGTGTGAATAATGGTTACTAAAATAAGGTATGGCATCAAAATGCCACAAGTCAGTTAACCAATGAAAGAACCAATCTAATGAAAGCAAATGGTGCGAAAATAACCAACCCGTAGATTTTTTGGATTGTCTCTGCGAAAAGTCTTAAATTTATTCTTATTTCATGAATGGATTATGAAATGAAAGTATTAATTTAAAGTAGATTGACTTTTATTAAGATTTTGGACACAGTAGCCATACTAGATAAAAATGCTAAAAGCATTTTTAAAAAATGATATTGATGATAAATGATGCAACAAATAACGGAAAAAATATACATGTGAAGTAATACAAACATAGTAATAAATACAAGCATTTAAGCATCCTATCCTATGTCATCCAATAGGAAGTGAAAGGTCAATGAGTGTCCCATTTAAAAGTTTTGTTTTCTATATACTCTTTTTAATATCTTATATCTTTGACAAAATTTTAGTAGAATTTAAGCGTTATTTTTAAGACGAAATAAGGGAGGATAAGCTCATATAAAAATAGGCTATTCACAATTAAAAAAAATAAAAAATTAAAATTATTATTTTTATTAGTTTATATAAAAACTTAAGTAATTAAAAATTAGGGTTTCGAATTTAGATGATTAAGATACATACTTAGCTACGAAAAACCTTAAAACACCTATGTAACATATTATATCTTCTATAGATAAAACATTATGGAGACAGGTATAAATTGCCATTGCCATTGCCAAACCTAATAAGTCTATTCTTAGGTACAAAAACAGAAGGAAACATTTAATCATAAGTCATATGGAACATAGCATTCTTACCAAAACAATTATTCTTATAAAATAGTAATGGTTAATAATCCTATGTATAATATTATACAGTGGCATAACAGATACTATTTTATAAAATAAATATTCTAGCAATTTTAATCCAAATTATTATAAACTAGTACTACCTACATACATAATTAATTATCAAGTAGCTATTGAGCATTACATATACTATATAGCATTGAGTAACTTCTTTTTTTTTCATACATTTTAAAGGTTGCTTTTCACTGTCAAATGTTATATAATGTGGATAAAAGAATCTCTTTGATTGGTTCAGTTGGTTATCAGAGCTTGAGTAATAGTTTGGAAAATAATACATACTTTAATAGACTATGGTGACCAATATTAATTTATATCCCAGATTGTGATGCATCATAAATTCCACAGCGAAAAGCCCGCGTTGTATTCGATGCGCCTTTGAATCTTAATACATGCTATATTATAACAATCACTAAATGCTTAAGGTTAACAGATATAGTAGAATTGTGCCGTATTTAATCCCGTAGTACCCAGTTGGTTACGTAGAAGGCGCCAAAGGAATTTAAACTTTGTACAATTATTGTTACTGCTGTGAATCCAACAGATAAGTGGCATTCGAAATTGACAGTGGCAACACTGACAACCTTTATAAGTGAATGGAAAACTTGGAGTCTAATATTAGAGGAGTTGCAGCAACTGTTTATAATGTTTTAAAATTATATAATGCAAAAAATGCAAGTAAAAGTAATATATTCCTGCTTCTTCTAAGTGGAATGATTTCTCGACGAAATAATTAAATATTACCTTTAAGATGTTTTATTATAATTGAACCTTAAAGAATGTTGTCTTTTATATTATGAACAACCACACTCACTGTTAATCATTAAAATGAATTTGTTAACTTTAACTTTCAATCTTTGACACAAAGTTTGGTAGATTATTACAAATCTAACTCTATATATATTTCTATGGCAATTTTTTTGGACATTTTTTCGATTTTATTGCGTTTTTGTTTTTAATGCTGTTTTTAATTTCTAGGTGTTTAGTTTTACGGTAGCCAATGATGTTATGATTAATACCCATGGCCACATTAGCCAGGATATTATTTAAAAAAAAAATTATTAATCCAATGCACAGATCAGGTGCATTAAAAAAATTAATTACATAGCGTATTGAGCCAAATTTCTATAACTAAAAAATCGAATGATTTTTGTTATTACACCAAGCAAATTGACAGATCAAATCTTATTCTAATATTCATGTCTTAAGTTCTATATATTATACACATACGTGTGTTTATAAGGTGCTAAGTATAGATTTTCGTCCATCCGAATTTATTTTGGCACTATAATCTTTTATAGTAATCTACTAGCAACTAAAGGACGTATTAAGATAATTGTTCAGCATTTTACACAGTCGATTTTGTGGTTTAATAAAAATTTAACGATAGAGATAAATCACCAATGAATTAATCAATGAGCAAGATTCGCTGCTTACCTAGAGTTATCGAGAAAAAAAAAAATTCGCTGAGAAATCCAACATTACTCGCGCGTATTATAGTCATTTTATACAAGTGGTACGGTAACTAACGTTTCTACTTTGTTGGAAGAAACAGATACAGGATCTTTGAAGCCAAAATCTTAATTATCTTTGGAATTTCATAAAATCAAAGATCAAAGAAGGCATCTAACCAAAGAGCGTACTTACGTTACTTTACTATGTTCACATGGATGGCAATTGAATTGTGTCGACACAAATGTGTCGCATCTGTCACGCTTCGTTCAGTCTTGACTGTTTGGAAAATGTATATAATAAAGTCTACTTTTGACCAATAATATTCTATCAAAAGTTGCTTGCAATCAAATTTTGTTAACAAACCAGGAAACTATGGTCGTATCAGCGCTTTGGACAGATCAAAGGGCGAACTACTTTTCGGTGGTTTGATTAGACCGATTTCTAAATCTAAGCCGCCACCAGTTTCTGTTTGACGTTGCTGTCATCTTCTATGATGTAATCCGTGAGTTCGACTAGTTTCCCGGCGGCCAATTGTTCGGCAATGCTTTTTCCCATATCGTCGTATAATTCCACTGTGATCTCATCGTAGTCACGAGCACTGGAAGTATTAAACGAAGCGTTTACAAAGTTGAGTTTCGACAACGTTTTACAGATGCACTTTCTTTTAAGTACTAATTAATAAGTCTTCGTGATTGAATTTCCTATTCAACAATTCAGTACTTGTTAAGTGCTAGACGGTTTGTGGAGTGCGGCTGCTTATATTACGCTTAAAGTACAATTAACTCAGTACCCTATACATGCTTCACTCACGAGTATACTATGTGCATCATTCATCATGCGCCCTTAGAACGTAACGTAATTCAAATCAAAGTAAAAATGCATCCGACACTAAGGACCAAAATATCAAGAATATAAAAGACGACTGAAGTAGTCGTCATTTGAGACAAAACAGAAAGAGAGAGAGCGATAGCGCGATAGATACATTATACAAACTTGGAATTGAATCATTGCAGTTTTATGCACGGTTCCTATATTCAACGAACGGCCGTTAGTTACACAGCTTTGTAACTTTCTTTCCTGTGTCGCAATTACGTTTTACATACACAAATTTCACGCGGACAAACGCCCAGATTCGACCCAATCATCCGTGGGTCACACAATATTTTTGAGAATGAGCTGGCGGTTCACCTGATGTTAAGTGATAACCGCCGCCAATGGACATTTGCAACACCCGTAGGGTTGCAGACGCGTTGCCAGCTTTCAATAAAGTGGGCCCCGGCTACGTCGCTCACCAGACGAAACGCACAAGTGTAACACTTCTACTTCACACCGGCCTTCATTGAGGTCGCGGTACTTTCGCGCACAGAAAAGACTGGTGCGCGGCCCTAGTACAGTTCGAAACAGATAGCCGTCACGCGCGGGAATTGAGCACCGCCCCCAGCGCCGACACATAAGCAACTGCGCTTAAAAAAAATCAGCCAAGTGCGAGTCGAACTCGCGCACGAAGACTGCCGTACCATTATCACACCTTGCGTTTGTTGTATGGGAGCTCCCTTAATTATTTTTTATTTTATATCCATTTTTAGCATTTGTCGTCGTAGCGGCAATAGAAATACATCATCAGTGAAAATTTCAACTAACTATCACGGTTCATGAGATACAGGCTGGTGACAGACAGACAGACAGGCCGGGTCCCGTTGAACCCTTCGGGTAGGGAACGCTAAGAAGGTAACTTAACGGTGGTAGGGCCATGCAACACCGTTGCACGAATGGGCAGGTCCGTCCGACAAAGTACCACGACCTCACAGTAAGACCGGCGTAAAGTAGAAGTGAAGAAGATTACACTTCTGCGTTTCGTCCGGTGAGCGACGTAGCCGGGGCCCACTTTATTTGAAGGTGACAACGCATCCGCGACCCAACGGGTGTTGCGAATGCACCATGGGCGGCGGTTAACGCTTAGCATCGGGTGAGCCGGCAGCTCGTTTGCCACCATCTCACATAAAAAAAAAGGGGGGGGGGGGGGGGGGGAGCCACTCACACGACGTGCGCGCGCAGCGTGCGCTCGCAGACGAGCCGCTGCAGCTGCGCCCGCGCGGCGGCCCACTGGCGGCTGCACGCGTCGCGCGCCCTCACGCCGGCGAGCGAGCAGCAATCATCATCTTTAGCGAGACGCCCGCCTTTGAACAACCCTCCCGCCCTTAGAACCTCCTGTCTTCCTTCACCCACATCACGTTGCCGTAGTCCACGTACATCACCTGCGGGGGCCGTCGTCATCATCATCTTCGGCGAGACGTCCGCTGTTGAACAAAGGCCTCCGCCTTGGAACGCCGCTGTCCTCCTACACCTACACCAGTTGCCCTAGTCGAGGTACATAACGTACGTGCGCGGCCATCAACATCAGCGAGACGCAAACTGTTGAACAAGTCTCCCCCTTTGAACACCGCTGTCGTCCTTCACCTGCACCAGTTTTCCTAGTCGACGTATATCACCTGCGGGGCAGTCATCATCACCATCGTCAATAAGACGTGTACTGTTGGACAAAGGTCTCCCCCTTGGAACGCCGCTGTCCCCCTTCACCTACACCATGTTGCTGTACTACGACGTATAGTACCTGCGGGGACATCATCATCATCATCTTCAGCGAGACGCCCGCCTTTAAACAACCCTCTCCCCCTTAGAACCTCCTGTCTTCCTTCACCCACATCACGTTGCCGTAGTCGATGTACATCATCGGCGAGGCCATTGTCATCAACATCATCATCATCAGCGTGACATCCGCTGTTGAACAAAGCCTTCCCCCTTAGAAGCCCCTTTCCTCCTTCACCCACATCACGTTGCCGTAGTCGATGTACATCATCGGCGAGGCCATTGTCATCAACATCATCATCATCAGCGTGACATCCGCTGTTGAACAAAGCCTTCCCCCTTAGAAGCCCCTTTCCTCCTTCACCCACATCACGTTGCCGTAGTCGATGTATATCACCTGCGCGCAGGCCATCATCATCAACATCGTTCATCATCAGCGTAACATCCGCTATTGAACAAAACCCTCCCCCTTAGATCCCCCTGTCCTCCTTCACCCACACCATGTTGCCGTAGTCGATATACATCAACTGAGGGGCCATCAACGGCAAAGCCCTTACTGTAGGATAGAATTATCCTGTTACGTAAGGACGTTTTACATACATAAATTTCACGTGGTCACTTCGCCATTTGCACCCAAAGGCCGTCGGGGCCGCAGCTCATCACGGTCATCGTCATTTTTTCTATGTTAAGTGATAACCGGGACATTTGCAACACCCGTAGCATTCCCACCCTTCAATAAATTGAATCAATTATTGCTACTATCTGTTCTGACAAACGTTGGCTTTCAGAAATAATTAACATTTGGTCTACTAAATGTAGTACTACTGGGATCTCATCCTTTGGTATCCTGTCAAAGGTTCCGAAACTCTTATGACGGGGGTGTTTACAAACAACTGCATTGACTTGCCATGAGATGTGCTGGCTGCTTGTTTGCCAGCATGCCTCAAAGAAAGAAAAATAACATGTCTTGCCTCAACATTTTGGTCTGCCCTTGTGGAGGAGAGGACCCTCGCTCGGTACCATTGGTCGTCCATGGGGTACAGGGCTGCCACCAATTCGCCGGGCGCCGGGCTCATCTGTGACAAAGATGTCATTTCCAACTAGTCCACTGTAGAGGTGTGACTTATTGAGAAAACATAGATTTTTAAATAGCCGATTTTTTTTTTTATCTAATAAAACTCGTCGTTTTCCAAAGAAATAAGCGATTTGGTTTTCCCTATAGCAACCACAGTCAAGGCAGTGCATATAAACATCTGAACCTATCGAAAAAAAAAAATTAGCAATTGAATTTACTTTCATTTACTGACCTTAATTTGAAGCCGCTCCCTAGTTAATGAGTAAGTAACTTTTCAAAACTGTTTAATTTTAGTTAATACTTGTTCCATATAGATGTTGAAAGAGTTCACTATTATACGAGTAAAATGTGGATTGGTTTTGTTGTGCTCACCTTGAGTGGTTTGTACGCCATTCGGGCTGCCGGGCTGTTCATGTCTCGAACGAGGCTGTCCAGATTTGTAGGTGGCAGCACCACGCCGAAAGAGGGCACTTGCTCTGGAATGTTTAAACATTTGGAATTCAATGGACACTTCAACTGATAGCGGATAAATAAGGTGCGTAAAATATTCAACAATGTTTGAAACAACGAAACGTTGGACTCGGTTTCAGCGAGACTGAGATCCACAAAGTAATAACAATGAATAACACAGATCCACAAAATAATAATAACAAAATGTAATAACAACAAAATAAAATAAGTATGGAGAACTTCTTCTGGTCGGGTTGCGTAGCAGTCTTTGCTGTTTTATGAATAGGCAGGTTAATCCGGGGAAGTAAGCAACCTCACAAAAGACCGGACTATTATAAATTTAATTTTCGTCCGACTAGTTAGGTAGCCGGTGGCAACGCCTCTGTAACCCTACTGGTGATGATTCACTTGAATCAGGTGAATTGATAGGCCAAATAGCACGCTACTTTTTCACGTGGAAATAGAGAAATTGCAATAAATCTATGTCTTGATATGTGTGTGCGTGAACGTTAAAGCAAGTGCGTGCGTGCGTGTGCGTGTGTGTGTGTGTGTGCGTGCGTGTGTGTGTGTGTGTGTGTGTGTGTGAGTGTGTGTGTGACATACACAATGTTATGTGGGGTTTATAGCGGGTTATCAGGCTCATAGACGTCATACATCGTGGGGAAACGTGCAAATTTTCCAAGTAGCTGTGGTAGGCCAAGCAACAGTTCGCTGTTGCACGAATGGACAAGTCCGTCCGGGAAATACCACGACCATAGAGGAACGGCGTGAGGTGGAAGTGTTATACTTGTGCGTTTCGATTGGTGATTGAGGTAGCTGGGTCCCACTTTATTAAAGGTGGCAATACATTTTTTTTATGTGAAAACTTGCCAAACGAGCAGACGGTTCACCTGATGTTAAGTGAATACCGCCGCCCATGGACATCTGCTACACCCGAGGGTTGCAGATGCGTTGACAACCTTTTGAAAATTGGGCTCCGGCCACCTCACTCACCAGACGAAACGCGAAAGCATTATACTTCCACTTTACGCCGGTCTTCTGTGAGGGCGTGGTACTTACCCGGACGAGCCTGCCCATTCGTGCAACAGCCGAGGCTGCTGCGTGGCCCTACCACCGTAAATGTATCTGCAACGGGTAATGCAAATGTCCATGGACTTTACTTTTTACATTATCACTTAACATCGGGTGAACCGTTAGCTTGTTTGCCACTTTATCACATAAAAATTTTAATAATGAAAAAGAAATATTTTCAAGATATAGTCCACCAATACGCATTGGCGTCGCGTGGTATGTCATTTTACTTTTTACTGTTACAAGATGAAATATGGAATTTTTCTGGAATGTAGGCTGTTACTTTATTTTTATTTCTTGGGATGAAAGGTAAGAACGAAACATTACATATCCTATAGCTATAGACTATCACTTAATAACATTCACAAACCGTCACAGCCACCACGGGATCTTCGTGTTCTGGACAGTCAGTGATGTCTATCTCCGATTCGAACATCTCTGGTGGCCCCTTGACAATCTTATCGTCCGTTAAGTTCACTCTCTCAACTGCAATGTAATAATGATTTTAATTTTATGTATGCATTTCGGCTGTGTAGTAATTGTGTGTTAGTGGTAGGCAAATAGTTGCATATATTATTATATGTATATCTATAAAAACTGAAATAAAGTGTCAAGCCGGTCATCTGGTGAAGAACCTTGAAATTGACCCTTGATCCTTATGATTTTTGTAGATTTTTAGATCCATAAAAGAATTCAGATATTAGAATGTTATCAATATTATATGGATTAAAATACGAATAATATACAGGGTGGCTTTTCTAAAGGTGGCCAAATTCACACAGGAAGTTTCAGACTCGGTAGTATAATCGTTTATTGAAATAAAAACAAACTTTTTTTTCTTAATAATTGCCATTCCATTCCAGAACAGAACTTGTTGACAATGCGGTAGTTATTCATAAATGCGTCGTATACTTTTGAAACGAACTTGTGTGCATGTTAGTTATGGATGATCGCGCGTAAAATAAATGAGTTGCCCATAAATAACGCACTTTTTGATATAAGTTCAACTGAATGTATTTCATAATTTACGAGTGATTTTAAATATTTGTAATTTTTATATAACATTATTTATGTCTAGAATTTAATAAAAAAAAAAAATGGGTACACTTAAAATAGCCTCCCTGTATTAGATAGGAAGAGAAAGGAAAAAGGGGGTCCTTACTCGCTTGTGCCAGGCCCTGTTCGACCAGCAAAGTGTTCAGGACCGCTTTTGAGGGCAGTCTCACGTACACGCCAAGAGATTCAGAGGTACTGGAACGGGGCAAAATTGGTCCATTTATTTATGGTGTGTTCTAAAGCATTTCGCTGCAATAAAAATTGAGTAATACAAATCGTCGTTTGTTCAAAGGAATTTCTGATAAACGAAATTCTAACTTAAAAATGCATTAATCAATATAATTATATAGCAAGTGATTGATAAGATTCAGCTTTAATTTCTAGGGTAAGTGCGTGATAGTGTAAATCTGTTGTCTGTATTGTGTCTGAGTGCGTATTTCTTTGGAATGGTCCCCTACTACCCTACTTTAAACGCTTTCCAAAACTAAGCTTGGCTTGTATGTACTTGGAGAAGCTAGTCGCCAATCGGTTGGTTGTTGGTTTTTGATCACACATCAAAGGAATTTCTCTATAAAAAAAAAACCAGCCAAGTGCGAGTCAGACTCACGTACGATGGTTTCGTACAGTTATCTATAAAAAGGGCAAAATCAGTCTGTTGTATAGGAGCCGTTCCCACCCACTTAAATATTTTTATTCTGTACTTTAGTATTTGTTATTATAGCGGCAACAGAAATATATCATCTGTGAAAATTTCAACTGTCTGACTATCACGGTTCATATGATACAGCCTGGTGAGACAGACAGACAGATGGCGGAGTCTTAGTAATAATAATCCATACCCAAAAGGTAAAACGGGACCCCGTTTTACTCTTAAGCGGCGATCATCGTGGTATGGATGAAAAGTTTTAGATTGTATTATATTCATTGTTATATTTCCATCATAAACCAAGGGTTATTAAATTGCCACTACTAATTTATACATCAGGCGATCCCGGAGGAGAATATATATTCGAAGAACTTTCACCCGTTCTATTTGAAGATTACACATTTTCTATTTGATTTTAGGGAGTTCCCTGGTGTATATTTGGAGTAAAATGTGCAATATTAATGAAATTAAAACGGCAATACTCGGGAACTAAACTGATAACAAAAATAAAAAAAACCAGCCGACTCCCGGCGCCAGAGCCCGTACTGCAGCCCTTTAAAATTCAAATGAAACTTGCCATATAGGGAAGGACACCCTCATTTGGATATGGCAATAGTTGCATATTATATGTATGACTCCGTCCAACTCCCAAGGTAAATAGAATGTTGAACAGTAGCAGGTTCGGTGTTCCACGGGATTTTTTTAGATACGCGACGGTAGTTTGTCGGACGGTGTTCCAGGCAATACATACTTGTCGTCCACCACGACGGTGCAGACTGTGCCGATGTAACGCTTCAAGAACTCCTCCAGTTTCACGTGTAGGTCGTTATTGTTGCTTAACAGGTCCACCTGTAATTAATGATGAAATATTTTATTGTGGTAGGGCCAAGGAGCGGTTGCCCCCGTTGCAAATTTGGGCAGGCACGTCCGGAGAAGTACCGCTTCCACATTAAAGATCGGCGTAAAGTGGAAGTGTCGCACTTTCGCGTTGTATGTCCATGGGCGGCGGTAATCACTTAACATCTGGTGAACCTCTTCATCAGATTACCTCATATTAAAAAAAAAAAAATCTCAATCTACAAGCATATGTGAGATAAGAAAATTAAATTTATAAATTTACCGTTTTAATGGTTTAAAATAATTAAAACGGTAAAATTTGACCTTACCACTGCTATATATATATATATATATATATATATATATATATATATATATATAAAACAATTTGTTTTATATATTTTTACAGTGGTAAGGTCACACAACAGTCTTCGCTGTTGCACGAAACAGCAGATCCGTCCAGATAAGTACCACAACCTTACAGGAGACAGGTGTGAAGTTGAAGTGTCATAATTCTGCATTCCTACTTCATAATGTAGCATCTGCAACCGTACGGGCGTTGCAAATGTGGGCATGCAATGAGCGGCTACCGCTTAATTGCCACCTTCTCACAAAAAGTGTCAAGAACTCACCCCCGCTAGATGGCAGCACCGGGCGTAAGGCGGGACGGCGCAGAAGCGCTTCGCCAGAGGCTGAAGGTTCACTATCGGAACAATGTGCACCTCACCGGAGTCCATTAGGAACACTTCGGCCACTCTGTTGTCCTCCTGTGTAGCAAACACACATCAGTTAGGTCATTTTATTTACAGAGACCCTGTATATGATGTTACCCTTATGATGAATCCTAATAATGACTCTCAGTATCAGAAGGATAACGGTAATAAAACACGTTCACTCGGTAACACCGTATATTGCGATTCTAACGCGACTCAACCAGTGTATTGCGAGTGTCCACCGAGTAACATTCGAGAGTAACCCATTACAAATGCGTTATATATGCTGCCTACACGCTATACATGCGTCGCCATCAGCTTACGCGCCAAACTACACATGTATCCCTACATTTTCTTACATTTCCTCCGTACCAATATACGCTTGATGCGTAAAAATACAAATTCTTCTAATTAACCCTTTCTCGAAACCTTGGCTCCCACCTACATAAGAGAATATAAAATAGTGTCTAATAACTTTTTTTGCACGTAGCCATGTGTTTTGTGCAAATCTTTCTGGCACAAATTAAGGTTATAAAGACTCCCTTAAAGCTATGCTTATCTGTCCACACGAATTAATTGTTTAAAACATTCAAGTTGCAAAGCTCTGAAAAGAAATTCGTGAAAATTTGATGAAAATTTTGATTGTGTTAAAGACACCCATACCCATCACATTCATACAGTGGATTGTTTTGAACTTAAAAAATTTTTTTATTTGGGTTTAAATTGATTTGATTGACCTTTTATTGATTTGATTTGACCAATGAGCGCTCATTGGTCAAATCAAACAGCTTTTTTGATGATTTTGAAACATCCCCGGCTTCGTGTTACACCCTTCCGTACCTTTTCACGAAATCACTCCCACCGATTGTGAATGGAGAACACATCAAAAAGAAAATCATTGGTACTGATCTCACCTCAGTTAGCGATATGAAGAGGGCGCGGTAGTAGCTGTCACTGTGGTCTTCGTAGCAAGCGCAGTAAGTAAGTAAAGTCGCGTCTTCAGGGGACAACTCAATGTAATTGTTTTGATAGAACACAGTCATCTCGGCGATGAGGCTGAAATCAAAGATGTTTCAACGATAACATTAGGATTGAGATATACACCATCGGGATCTTGGCTAATGGATTTTGTTTGAATTTAACTCAGAATATTCTACAAATTTTCAAAAAGGTTATTACCATAGAATGACATAGAACTGTGATGAAGTAAGTGCTTTACTCTAACAAATTATAAAACATATGACTAAGACTTAAAAGGCCACTAAAAAGAACTATTTTTATTGGTAAATATTTTATCCTATTTTTAAGTTAATTAAGGTTTATGAAACTTAAATCAAATTAATTTAATCAAATAGTACATACATTTAAGAATATTAATGATTAATTCAATATCTAGTTTTTGAGTGGGTAAATTGTCAATTTATTTACAAAAAAATAATAACTGGTGGTTTTTATCAAATCTAAAACTGTTTATATGATTAGGCAATATTGCTATTTTGCATTATCAATAAAATAATGCTTAAAAGTTCTATAATTTCAACCTCTGAGTGGCTAAATAATAACATAATCTGAAAAATAGTTATATGTACTCATGGACTTCCGCAGGATCTTCTGTGCACACCCAAAATGAAATACCGTCCACATTCAAGATTGTTGCAGAATACTCTTGGTCAGTTTGAAGTATTCTCTGGGCTGGCAAGTTGTAATTTTCAAATACAGTTTTTTTTAAAGTATCTGTAAAAATTATAATATTGTATATTACTTTTGTTTTGAATTTTATAGTATAGACTTTTAATAAATCTTAAATTGTATCAATATATTTTATTTGACAAAAACTGTGATTGCTCATTGTCTAGGGGCTCGCCTTTAATTTAATATATTCCAGCAATCTGAGAAAATCATCAGTGAGACATCTTATAGGACACCTTTGGTCCTTTACCTAACTGAAAAGACAGTATTTCATACTATTTTGATAAAGAAAGATAAAACAGGTAATGAATGTATTTAACATAACCAATCTAAAATGTATATACAAAGTTTGTTAGTGAAAAAAGGACAAAAAAATAATAGGTATTTTCCACTTACACATCTAAAAAGAGCTGAAGAAAACAATTAATCAAACTAATTGGAAACATTTCTTACAGTTGTTCACAACAATTATTTGAAAATTTTTTTAGGCAAAAAAGAACATATACTTTTATCAAAAAGGCAAGCTCTAAAAAGACTTAGGTATTGAAATTCCATATGAAAAGTTAATAGAACACCTTCACCAGCCCCAAAAGTATTTTTAAGTAAATTTGATATCCTTTTACATGAAATAATAATGAGTACATATGTTTAAAATGCAGGTAGTCATTGCAGGTGATTTTAATATTAACACAATAAAAAATGTAAATAAATTGTTTATAATTGAGCACAAATTTATAACTTTTATGTAAACCTTTTACACCTACTTGCAAATCTTCTAGTAAAGGTTATATACTGATTATTATTTCAGCAGCTAAAATAGTGTTACACATTATATCTTTTACATCATGGAAAAGTCCAACCTTTACATGTATGAATAGAAAATAAAATAATAAAGGTTCCAATATATTTTCGAAATAGAAGACACCCCAAGAAAGTTCTTGGTGAGATTCCAAACTTAAAAAGTAGTGTAATTTTAAAAAAAGAAATGAAATAAATAGGTGTGATAATAGATCATTAAAAAATATAATATGACAATGGCTAAATAATAGTATCGAAGAACTTATTTGCATAAACAGAATTGTAATTAGCACTATTGTATTGTATGTTGCGACTTTTAGAACATTAAGGCTTCACAAATGTATTTTTAATACATCCTTTAAATAATTACCATGACGATATTTACAAAATGAGAAAATATCTCAGATCTCAAAAATCTCAAATTTGAGCATATATGCTTTGCAAGTTTACAGTATAATTTGTCACATTACATAAAACTTTTGTGACATAAGAGAGATGAAATTACGATAACATACCGGCTATCATTGCTTGATGTACTAATAATATATGAGACAAACTTGCACTCACCATTATTTGAAATCTTTTTTGTATTGTCCACAATATTGCATTGCACCTCTTTTTCTGTGGTGTTACTTTTTGTTTGCGGTACACTCTCTGCAGAGCAGGAGGAGCTAGAGAAAGCTATGAGTAATTGATCTTCTTTTGGCACTTTATTACGAGTAGGTTTCTCTGATGGACATTGATTAGGGCAAGTCTTCGATGTTGACGGTGTATGCTCAGTTAAGACATCCATTAGATTGAATGGTGCAGAGGGTGGTGGTGCCGGCAAAGCCCTAATGGATGAGTCATGAACAGGAGCAAGCTCCATATTACTTTTAATTGCTTCTGTAACATGCCAAAGTAAAAAAGAATAGTTTTAATATAAAGTTTTTTTTTTATATTAAAAAGAATTATGTTCTATAAAAGAATTGTATGTTAATAAAGATAGAAGTATTAACTATGCCAGAAACATACCTAATTTGTTAACAGCTAGATTGAAGTCGGTAATTAGGTATGTAAATTCATCGAGCTGTTTCATACAGTTCAAAAATCTCTCCTTTAAATCTCCTGGTTCACAATTAAGTTGTTCCACAAAGCCTTTGGCCTAAGAATAAAATTGATTCAATCAAAATTAAAACTTGAAATTGTTGACACTTGAAATTACATAATTTATTCTTTTTAATGTTATTGTTTTTACAGTTTATATTTTTTAACTTATTTAATACATAGTTATCCTTTATTGTTAATATACTTGTACTGATGTTTACACAGAAATATATGAAAATAACGTTTTTTTATATGAAGGCAATAAATAATTTTTTTTAATTTTTATTTGCAATTAATTTAATTTTTAATAAGTTTTAGTACCAAAAATATTAAACAATACTTAGAAGATTCAACTTCGGATAATTGGGTTCCATATAGGCAATTATGAATATCATTCAAGAAAATAATTAGGTAAGTAAACAAATAGGGAAGCTATGGAATAGAGAAAGCGAAAAATAATTAGAGCCTTAATCATACCGTCATTTTTAGTTTTTTTATATCTTTGATGGCATGATCACATTTACTAGAAAACACATTTATCCTTGCCTCCATTTCATTTCGTCTGTGCAGTGCTAGAGTAGCGAGATCTACAAAACTCCTGAAAAAGAAAATACCCTCTAAATAATAGGCAAAGAAATCGAATATAACATTAAATAATTACAAGTTTAAAATAACATTACATGTTGAGAGATTTAATAAAACAGATTTATGTAGCACAACGTAGGGAATCTGCTTATTTTTTTCTAACAGATTTTTGATCAATATTTTGAAATCGGACCTCAACGATTCTTTTTACTAAACCATGGAATAGAAAATAGAAACAGAACAGGCAAACAGGTGTCAAAAAACAAAAAGTGATGTGATCGATTCAAAATGTGTTGTAGTCGATATTTTCTAAGGTGATGACAACCATGATACTAGCGAACCGGAATGATATAATGAAAATTGAAAATTCTTATTCCACTCATGGTTTAAGTACGATTATTTATTATTTGTTTTTGTGTATTTATTCATTACAAAATATACATTTAAACAAAAAGTTGTGATTAATTTATTTTTTTCTTAAAAGTAGAGAGATTTATGATAAACATATAGTAATAAATTCGTAAATTATTTATAATAAATCTGGAAATCAGTGAGATTTTTTTAAATATTGTAATTCGTATATGTAATAGTGTTCGTTTGTTTAATACAACACTAGTTAATCTTTAATACAGCATAAAACCTACTACCATAGATAATACATATACACTGGATAGTACCTTTATAAAGATATACGCAAACATAAATACATTTTTTAAATTATAAATAATTGCAAAAATAACAAATTTTATCGCAATATAATTTAATTCTTTACAATCGAATAAAATATAAAGTTGCAGAAATTGTTTATAAAATGTACATGATGTAAAGAATCTACTCACCACTAGATGGCAGCTGGAGTAAAAATAAATGTTTTACATTTCTATTATTATGATATATATATTATGAAATTATACTTGAAAGGGAAAAGATTGCCTGGAGAGTAACCGGGAAAGGTTGAAAGTCGCACCAGTGACTGAAAAAATAAGGAGTTGGCATGGTATGGGCACATTATAAGAAGGGATGAAAGTCATGTGACTAGAAGAGTGATGAATATGAATGGGGTTGGAGGATATGATATAAGGATAGGGCAAGACCGAGAAAGATCTGGATGGACTTTAGGAACAATGACATTTCTGTGAAAGAGGTGAATACTGAGATGACGGCTGATAGAGGAAAGTGGAAAGATGGATTAGGGCAGGAGAAAGAAAGAAGATTATGTCTTAAATTGACCGGCTGACTGTTAATGAGGTAATGATTTTTTTTATTAACTTTCCTGGATAAAGTAATTAATGTTCTTAGCTGATTAATATATTTGTAAGGTTTTAAGAGTCAGTTAAATCAATATTTATGGTTTTCACGAGTTTTATTGTCTTTTAATTGTAATTCTTTTATTATTTAAATAAAGCTACGGAAATTTTTAGAAGTGAGATTGAGTAAAATGAAATGAAATTAAATAAATGTATATATCGAAACAAAAAACGTTCTGTTCTGATATTGTCAGTTTCTCGGCCGAATTCATCTTCGTCAATAAGATGCAATATAATTCTTATTAGTATGCGTATGTATGAAGTGCTCCCTGTGTAGGTGTAGCCATTAAGGGAGTAGGTAGTTGCGATTTACGCTCTACCTTTCAATTAAAAAGGTCAGCAAACTAAACAAAAGCCACATAATAAATTCAGGATAAACCACACCGCTCTCTACTAATTGGATTCCGAGGGCAGAGTAACCAATTAGCGTGAAAGAGATAGATTGCTGACGTTTCGTTTTCATGGAAACAGGATAACATTTTAAGAAAATTATTGGGCTATGTGTCTCATCTAGGACAGTATAATATTTAATTTAATTTATACATCCTCTATAATCTCGACTAATACTCGAAAATTTTATCCAAGCTAAACCTAAAACTACGAAGGAACATAAATAACAAATAACTAAAATCAACTTTCAGTGTGCTTTGTCTGATAAAATTCTAGAAAAAATTGTGATATTTTATTTAGTTAGTCAATGATATTATGATATTACGAAATTAAAAACTCACTCAATTTACGAAACTCTATAGATTTCTCTTTCCGTTTCAAACGTTCTATCTATAGGTATCATCTGCCACGTTCATATATATAATGTCAAATATAATATAAAGCGGAACAACTTTTAACGCCGCGCTGTATGGACACGCGTATGTGTATTATTAAACATCATTTATTTAGTTTTAGTAAAACAATAAAATTTTACGGCTTGGAAATTTCTGTATTGGGTAAATCAAAATATGTTTGTTATACAATTCAATGTTTTGTCTCAAAGTTATATCTTACAACATGATTAAGATTTTTTGGTTTTGACGTTTTTCCTCTCTGATAAAAATATAATACGAAAAAAGTCTTAACCATTTGCACATGCTTCTGGCCTGTTATAAAATTGCCGTGGTTATTAAAATAACTTCTAATTCTATATTTTATGGCTCGAGTTATTAAAACTCAAATACCTACTCTAAATAAGTTATCATCAAGTTTTATTGAATTATATATTTTTCTGGACATTTTAATGTACTGTGTACTGTTATTCCTTTTTACCGGTCTTAAAACTAGGTACACAACGGTTGTTTCTATTACTTATTCACGTACTGAATTTGCAGCTGTTTATATAAAATCAATTAATAATAAACTATCTTTTTTGGACGATGTAAAATTAGTTTCTTAATTATTTTTACTAATGAGTTTTTCAAGTCTACTACTCATATAGTTGATGTATAGTACGCTTTATAAGACAGTGTGATCAATTTTATTTTATTTTTTATTTTATTGTTTGTTGTGAAAAGCACAAATACGAACAACCACATATTTTGGATAACTTATCTGTAGACATTTGACATTTCTAGTTTCGCGCCTTCCGCTCGGTCATGTACATATTGCGGCGCTAGTTTCGCCGCGAGCCGTTATTAGGGTCGTGCGAAACACGCCAGGCGGGGCGTTTAACATAATTTGAGGCAATACGCCGGGACAGATAGTTACCCTGATCGATGCTAATAGCTTTTATTGATATAGCTTAGGTGTTATAGTTTACTATCGCGCAATCCGGCGGTAGTTAGCCGCCGTAAATTACTTTAATATCGGCCGTTTGACGCCGGCGCGAGGTTATCAAATTGTCGGTTGTTCTGCATTTTGAGTTATTTGATAATTCATAGGCGCACGGCGCGGCTCACGGGGCACTGGGTGCGAATCCCGTGTGAAAAGCGTGACTACGACTATGTCTAAAGAGACGTCTCGGATTTCTTCGGACATTTTCTTCTTTTTCGTAAGACTAAACGCATACAAAAATATATGCACATCATAAATATGTATGTAATATACTGTACCTTAATGCTGTATTTATAATACATACTTCTTTTTTCTTATAAACCAGGTCCTTACTGTAGCATAATATTACCCTGTGTTGTAATGACGTTTTTCATATATAAATTTCTCTTGGACAAACACCCGGATCCAAAACAATTATCTGTGGGTCATACAATTGTCTCGTTTTGGAATCGAACCCACGACCCTCGATGCCGAATAGTACTTTAGCAATGGCGCTATGGAGTCATCAAACTATACAGGGTGGCTTTTCTAAGTGTATCCATTTTTTTATTAAATTCTAGAGATAAATAATGTTATACAAAGAATGATAAATATTTAAAATCACTCGTAAGTAATTGATTACATTCATTGGAACTTATCTCAAAAGTGCGTGATTTATACGGAACTCATTTATTTTACGCGCGATCATTCATAACTAACACGCACACAAGTTCGTGCACATTAAAATTTAGGTATTTATGAATTACTACCGAATTGTCAACACGTTATGTTTTTTAGGGAATAGAATGGCATTCTTTTTTCGGAAAAAAAACTTTATTTTTTATTTCAATAAACGATTATACTACCGAGTCTGAACTTCCTGTGTGAATTTGGGCACTTCTCAGAAAATCTCCCTGTCTATCATAATATATAGAAAAATAGTTAATTGCAAAATAAATCGTTCAAACTGTTATTTAAACCTTTCCAAAAGTACAATATTTTCATTCGATGACGATATACGTAAAGAGTGTACAGAGAAAAACATCTAAATCGCGATATGACCTCCATTTTTACATAAATAAATTTTTAATAAGGTGAGAAATAAGAAAAAACTTAAGAAAGATAAAATTATACACACACTTGTACTTTTATAATGTAAAGAAATACATCAAAATAAGTATTTATTCGGTTATAAATACCACCACAATATGATACTGTTATTGGCTGCCACTTATTATGTTGTTACAAAGATACATGTGTTTGAAGAACGAATGTAACAATTCCAAATTTAAATCTAATGAAGCAATTCAAACATGGTTCGGGAACGTGTTGTGTTTGCCGCCATTTAATATTTAGATAATTAAAGCGGACCGAATGTAACTCGAGGGCTAATTTCGAGACTAATTACGATTACAACTCCGCTCAGAATCGTAAGCGTTGGTAATACAGAGGCGTCAATTTGCCTCTGTGATGGAGTGTTTACACTTTTCAAGATTCCCTTGGCCAAGTAGTGAGTGAACATATTATACATATGTAATTACTGTGAAAGTACTCATAAAAGACCAAATTCTTACATTACTTATAAGTTTTGATACAATTATTTGTTGATTATTATATATGGTGTTTAAAAACAAACCCATTAAAGTTATGCAATTTGATTCAATTCTTGTATATTGGATAGAATATAACACAATAAATTATATAAATTATACCTTTGCCATATATGTTATATTTTTGAGCAGCAGATTTTTAACGAATTCCATTTTTTTTGAAGTTAATTTTAAATAAATTTTAAGAAGTTCATGCTTTTATAACATATGCAGGTTTAAATCGATAGTAAATATGCAGTCACTGCCATTTCGTTCATTATTGACGGAAGATCTTATAAATTGGAGGGAAAGCTTAATAGGCGGGCGAGTTACTAGAACTGGGTGCCGTTTGAACGCAGCACCGTCGTCGGCGCGGGCTCCATAATTATTACCAACATTCAGCCGGTTGCTCGCAGTCTGTAATTAAAACATAGTTAGAGCAACGAGCTCACGCCTTCGCTGCCCAGATTAATGCCTTAATAGAAATGTAACGCGCGATTACACGAATAAGCGCGGGGCATTATCGGCCTCTTGGAAGGCGCGATGCGTGATTGATGACGTCATTTGTCCACGAAACCGCCCGATGTTTCGCTGTACGCAACATGGTGCCCCGTTGTTGATATATATTTTTATTTACCTTTAAAGTGACCATCTCGTTCGCCTCAGCTCGATGCGGGTAGACTACAACAAACACTACTACGTTACTAAAAAACTTCGACAAAGTACATTTTACATTTATTTAAAAAGATGCACTATCACCATACATATCGGCACAATTACAAAATGTAAAAGAAAGTTCGGATATGTATGCTCACTAACTACGGATCCACACATCGTTCACATGCCTTTCACAATACTATTTAAATTTAAGAAATGCCAAATACGAACTCAAGTCCAGTGATTAAAGGAATAACGATTTGATTACAGACAAAGAATTAAGGTAAAACAATCAAAATAAAGTAAAACAAATTTCTAATTAAACAAAAATTCATCATTATCCTAAGATAAAAATATTAAGATTTAGGGTCTTGTTATACTCATGCTATGTTACGTATTGCAAAAATATTAGTTTTGCAACTGTCAAGTGACATGTCGTGTTTTGGTAGTATTTGAATAGCTAACTTCGTTGTATGTTCTACAAATTCCTAGAATTGTGGAGTTCCGCCCTGATTTGGAATTGTAGGGAGGCATATGGAATATTTTCTTAATGAGATCTCTGGATGGCTGAATGGTTTTGAATACGATATTTGTCCGACTAAACCACTTGAACAACCTTAAAAGAAATGCAAGTTCGTGAATACGCCAAACTTCGCGTAATGTCTTCATGTTAGGTGTGGTAAAGTACTGCAAGGTGACTTGGTGGTCGTATGAACCAATAGTTTATGCCTAGAGACATGTATGCTAGATACTCTGAAAGCTCTCTGTTGCGATGTTGCGAATCCACTATAAGCAACAGTTGCGTAGCCCAACCTTATTTAACCAATTCTGTTTAAAGTCGCTGGTAGCATTTTAACATGTGCTGATTGTTTAACTATGTTATCCCCATGTAATTTGAAGTTGATGATTGCTTTGTATATTTTTTTATAATCAGATTACGTTATTCAATATCTGTTCTTAGAAGTGTTTTTTGTTTAATTTATAGTTGAAGGTAGTGTTAAATTTTATCCATGGGATTTTTTTATGTAGAAAGATATTGGTACATTAGTACCATTCAACTGTGGTAGGACCATGCGACAGTTCGCTTTTGCACGAATGGGGAAGTACCACGACCTCACAGAAGACTGACGTAAAGTAGAAGTACATTTTTGCGTTTCGTCTGGTGAGTGAGGTAGCCGGGCCAACTTTATTTAAAGGTGGCAAAGCATTTGCAACCCTACGGGTGTTGCAAATTTCCATGGGTGAACCGCCAGCTCGTTTGCTCTCTCTCATAAAAAATAAAACCTACCATCGCATTGATGTATATCACAGAGGGAGAGCAAAGAACTAAACAGATGCTCATTTTAACACTTTGTATACAAAGTTCAAGTGTTTTAAGCGATTTGATTGATTTCAGTTTCACTTTCTTTTCAGAATTTAGTTAGTGTTGTCAGCAATATTTATTATCATTCACACTTATACACTATTTTACGCTTGTACTAAGATTGAAATGTTTCATCGTTAAAAAAATTCACAGTGTCGGGCTTGAGATAATCTTTATTATATACTAGCGACCCGCTTCGGCTTCGCAGGGTGCCATGTATTATACATATAAACCTTCCTCCTGAATTACTCTATCTAGTAAAAAAACGCATCGAGATCCGTTGCTTAGTTTTAAAGAGATAAGCATACATAGGGACAGACAGACAGCGGAACACTTTGTTTTATACTATGTAGTGTAGGAACTTCTTCACTTATAGAGATATGGAGGCGCAGCGGGCGATTACGTAATCAAGTTGCGGCATACAATGAAGGTGTTAAGCTCCAAGAAGGGTGCTTGTGGGGGCGGAGCGCTAGCAGCAACAGCCTTTATTAACATGTCACTCCGAGAGAGAGAGGGCGCTATAAACATGTCAGATGTAGGAGGGGGACTGGTGCGCGCACGGGCTTCCATGCGCGCGGGCCTCGAAGCGGGTGTTTTCGCCTTACAGTCTTTAATAATCGTTGTCTATGGTCACCGACGTGCGTTTGCGGACGCTGCAATTTTAAGTCTATGCTCTTATTAACTTTCGTCTGACGTCCGATTTATTATAGATTGTTTTTTTTTTCAAGATAGAAGTTGGGTCACATAAAGTAAATGTTTAAAAGTAAAATCCCAATAGTGTCGGGATATAATGGATATGAGAAAACCAAAAAAGGAATATTGCAGGATTTTATTCATGGATTTATTTGTCATAATTGTGGATTTAGATCTGATCCATGGTCAGCAATTTTATAAAATTAGGTACACTCTTCATTCAGCTGTCAGTTTTACATAGTTTTTAGTATATAAAATCAGCTGCTCCAAGCTGTATTAATCAATGTTATTTATGTATTTAACTTCTTTACTTAGAAATAATTTGTTCTTCTTTTGTCATACTATTGGACGGTTAATCTAAATTTCGTGAGCCTTAAATCCCTGTCGATGAAAACATTAATAAAAATTAATCAATAATAAAAATTTCGGGAACTTAACGTCTGCCTACAAAATACGACCCCCAATCAGTACAAATCCAATGGAGCGCACCGAACAAAGCCCCATGGTCGGCAATTGCGTCGCGGCGATAAATTGTCGACCATTACGTACTGTCACTGTTGTATCACAGACCAAATTAATATGTGAACGCGCATAAGAATGTCGTTTGGAAGAATCGGTCGTATTACCACACTGCTGAGAGTTTCAACCGGACGAGTACCGTTTCAAATTATTAATTTTTAAGTTTTGTTGAAATGACAACAAAGTAATGGGGAAGACTGAAAACGTGTTACTATTATATTAAATAGCGTTGTCGTAGACGTATTGCTATCTTTCATTCGGTCTTGTAATGAATAGAAGCGTGTATGAAGCAATGGGAATTGAAAGTTTAATTAGTTAAGTATTAGTTCTGTAGTTCATTTTAATTGTTAATTTACGCAATCTAGTTTGTTTAACATATTGTTTGGGCCCCTTTATGATTTAGAGATTTGTCTTTGTCAATAGTATAAACGTAAGTGTTGGTAATAGAGGTGATTATTATTGAATTGAATTTAATTTAATAAATTTATTTTTTATTTAAATTTTGTTGATATTGTTGTCCGTGGTTAACACAGAAAGTACCTAATATTATTTGTCTAATGAAACTGAATATCAGCGGCTTTTTCTATATTTTTCGATAAAATAGGAGCTTATGAAACTGTAAATTATATAATGATAAAAGTGTAATAGATATATTACAACATTCTTTCAGCATCTTTTGTTGCACTGGAATCAAATATTTACTTTATCTTTATCATTCGTTTGGTTCGTGTTTTTTTCAATGTCTAGAATGTTTCCAAATACATAAATATCCGTAGGGACGAATATAGTTGTTGACGTTAGTTTTTTAATATATTATAACATTCTCCCAGCATCTTTCGATTAGAATATATATTCAGATGTAATTGATTTATAATTTTTTGAGGCACTTGAATCAAAAATTTACATTGTTTTTATATCATTCTTTGGTTAGAGATTTTCTTGTATTTTTCAACGTTTCCAAATATATCCGTAGAGACGAATAGTTCTGGACGTTATCATTCGGTCGTGAGTGAACGAATGAGTGAGCGTCTGAGAGGTGTTCTCACGCCGGACGACTACATAAATAGTCCTAATTCAACTTTAATGACCCGCTTGCGTGAATGAAATTGATTCGGCGACCATATTTTGACTCTCTCGGGCCCCATTATGAGGTTTTATACGATGCTGATTGGGTAGTTTGCCTTTTTATTGATATGTATCAATTTGAAGTAAGTTTCAGTTTGCATGTGTCTGAATATTTTTTGTTTTTTTGTTTACATAATTAACATATATAAATGTGTATTTATGCATATGTTGATGTTATAATGCAGTTTTAGATTTTATTGAACGAATTTTTAGGTGCGGTATTGTTTTTTTAAAAAAACTTCTAACGTCTCGTTCTGACGCATGGATAGCTTTAAAATTTTCACGAACTTAACAGGTACTATGTTTTCGTAGAATAGAATCAAAGATGATATTGTTTCTCTTTCTTTTATCTTTACACGTATCGTACGTCTGAAAAATTGCTAATTTATCGGCAATAAGTTTACATCATGACACTGAGTGACATATCGAATCCAATTGGGTCCATACTCACACTTGATACATAACTACCCACACACAAATATTGATTGCACACTCTAGGTCATCTAGATCATCTAGGTCATTCTCGTCTACCAATATACCGCGTAAAAAAGGTACACCTGCGTTTCGGAGCGGTTCTGATCGATTCCACCATCATTCTTCTGAACAACGGTTCGTAAACCAACGGAATATCGATACTGGTAGACAGCGTTCCTAACAAAGCACACATCCACTGTCCCTAAGTACACTACTGAATATGAAAATAGCTACTTGAATATGAACAACTTCAAATGATATGTTCATTGCAATGTCTTTCTATACAATAGGCTCCAAACTCCAATCTGACAACGATTTCATTTTGTCTACAATGACTTACAATCCTAAATCTTAAAACTTCACGTGATCATCTATAAAGTAGCCATTATCAGATTCGATAGTGTACACACTACTACCCGTATACAAACCTAACAGACTACCTACCCGTATACAAATCCGTAACAATTGTAGTTGAATCCGAAAGCCCGAGAACCAGTTGCAAATGACTTTATACAGGATATGCAACTGATAATGAGTTATCGTGTAAATGAGAAAGATTAATTTATAGCAGTTGAGATTAATTTATCGTTATCAAACAAAGCACAAAAAATAACATTCCATCAAGTTAGTTGACGACAAGAAACGGCCGTGCGGCGCACGAACGCGATGCGCCTTCAGTCTTTAATTCGTCGGACACCGAACTCATGTTTGATGGCTTGATTTCACACCCATAGTATTTTTAAGCGAAACGAGCGCTTTCGTTATTGCGGGATGTATTGATCAGTCGCTTGATTCCGCACTCGTCGTGCTTAAGCGAAGTTAGCGCTTGCGTTATTGCAGCAAAAACGGGTCATTAGCTCGAGATGGCGGGTGGAAATGAGTCAATCGGGCGGGCAGGTGGCGACGGGCGGCGTAATTAGAGCGGCCTGTTATGTGATTAAAAACGCATTAGCGCTTCGCGTACCGAGAGCGCCGCTCGCGCTGGCCACGCGAGAAGGCGTGCTAGGAGACAAACAAGCCGTGGCTTAAGTGACAGTCCGGTCAACCGGAGCGGTGGTTTGGAATTTTTACGACACTAACAAATGTGTATGTGTATGCAAAGTATGGCTCTGTGGCGCAGTTGCGAAGCTGATGGCTTCGGCGCTGGTGATCGTGGGTTCGATTCCCACACGTCGTCGTTCGTATCTGGGTGTTTGTTTCCATGGAGGGTTGACGTCAGGCAGGCGGCTGGTCGTAAAATATCTAGCCAATACCACTTACAACATGATTCACATGTTGTGCCGACCTCACCTAGGTGAGGTAAGTGCAGGAGGATGATGATGATAATTAAATATTGCATTGCTTTGATGCATGTAGATACGGTAAGGCATTGCGCACTGAACTGTATCACATTTTTCGTATTGGGCTCACACAGTATACTGGTATTGATTAATATGTCTCTAACAAAATAAACGAAATAATAAAGACAAAAAAATTTCTATAAACTTGCTGAAATAATTTACTTTTCCTTTCCATAGAACACAATCATAATTAAAATGTATCTTTCCTAATATATTTTCAATTATCTTCTGAAACTAAATGTTTGTGACATACAAATAATTTGCAGTATCACATCTAGACAATCCGAGGACAAATTATCTTTTTTGACATTCTTTACGTTCAAACACTATTAAAATATGTGCTGCAACGCGCTCATATTCATAATATCAACATTTTTATTAACAAAAAACAAAATCGACTTCAAATAATTCACTGATCACTCACTATAGGATTACGGAGACCAAGGTGCATATGAAATTAATGTGGGATGAGAGTTAAACGTAATGCAAAATTAATTTTAAAATCAGTTTGTAAATAACGGAGTCCTAAGGAACCTAGTACCTATATCGTTGTTTGTAAGCGTTGCTTAGTTTGAGACTAGATAACGTTGATTAAAAATGTGTCCTAAAATATTTATTTATTTGTCTGTTCAGAATAAAAACAATAAAAACAATCGATACTATTCCTGTTTGCTTTGAAATAACAGTCGCGAAATAAAGGTAATGGCTTAATTTCATTTGCTGTTAAACTGTAGCTGACCCTTGGGACGAATTAAAAATGTACTGCATACAAACAGTCTTTTTATTGTTATTCCAGTTAACACAGTAAAGCGTTATTAAATTTATTGACGTATTAATAAGTAGATTTACGTATTACTAGATTGTTTAATTTACTATAAAATATAAGCAGTACGATCGTTAAGGTATGATACTTTTTTATGTCAGTATAATTATATTTTACTTTAAAAAAGTAATGGACTGCTGGTCAGTAATATTTCTGAATTCTTATGTCACATAGACTATGCAAAATTTTTTCGTAGAAATCACTTATAATACATTCAATTCTAATACGTTTAAGTCCAATTTAAGTCGAAGAAGAAATCTTTAAAATTTGAATACATAAATTATATTTGTCAATATATAACAGCTGTGACGTTTGTTAATAAACTTTAAAATATGTTAAGAACCTTAGATAGAATCATTTAAAGATTATAGCTCACGGAATTTGATTTAACAGTCATAAATATTTTAATTGTATGAATATAACCATGACTGGACCGCGTTGTATTAATTTAATAACCTAAAAGTAAATTTCAAGGTGAACCATAAACAACTAAAATCTATTCTCCTTTAAAAACGACAATAAATTATAACACTGGCCGCGAACGAGCTCATTTCGATCGCTAAAGCCGAAAACGCCCGAAAAAAACGAAGCGTTCGAAATTTAATTTATTCAAAATTGAAACGTCACGGTTAGGTTAACCAACTTATGCTTCGGAATTTTAAAGAAATAAATTTGCCTTATTACGTAGATGTTTTATTGATATGCCTTTATTTTTTTAGAAACTTAACACAATTGTAAAAATTCTACTTATGAATTAGGTACGATAAAATGTTCTTTTTCGTCTCTTTTTTTTAATTTTGAATTGCAATATTAAAAAAAAGTAATAATTTAAAATTAATTGTTAGATGTTCTTATTTTTTCGTGTGATCCGGATCGTCCGGGAAAGTTCCAGACCGTCCCCAAAAGTAAAAGTATGAGAGCACATAGATATTAAAGGCTAGTAACGCCACTGCAACCCCATTTGTTGCGGTGTTCACGGTTGGCGGCAATCCCTTTAAAGTGAGTCGTCTTCATGTTTTCCACCGACTATAAAAAAGAAATTACTCTATTAAGAAAACGTTGACTTGTATAGGTCAGGCATGAGAAGTTTGTTTTGCAACCTCTCTTGGAACCAAAAAATGCACAAATCTAAAGAACGTGCGAGCAAGACAGGAAAAGTGCGAAAGCTACAGGAATACTCCCAGTAGTCCTGCATGTAGCTATTCCGAGATCTATACATAATCCTATGAATTGGAACTTCAGTATCTATGTATAGGCTGTAACTTTATACAATATAAAGTTACAGCCTATACATGTCCCACTGCTGGGCAAAGGCCTCCTCTATACAGAGCGTATCAGTGCATTGTCTGCCACGCGGCCCCAGTGCGGATTGGCGGACTTCACATATCTTCGAAATATTTTTTTTGTTATTATTTCGAAAATATGCAGGTTCCCTCACGATGTTTTCCTTCACCGCGGAGCACGTGATAAGTCAGCACTTAAAGTTAAAAACTTCATTGGTGCCGGCACCGGGGATCGAACTCAGGTTGCTCGAGTATATTGAATTGAAGGCGAGCGCCCGGACACTGAACTATCACGGCTCAATCTAATTGTTTAATATAAATTATATACTATTTTCTACAGACCTCATGGTCACCACAGCCAAGAGGCACAAAGGCACGAGGCGCACAATGGCCGCCGCTCGGCGAGAGTGTTAACACGAAAATTAAATGCTGATATCACAATTAATCAAAGGCCCATATTAATAATTGGCTATTCACTACGTTGCGAGGTGTCAAATTATATAGCTCAATTAACGTTCGTGGAATAGAATGGGGCGTGTTTGGCTCTGTTTACAAATACGAAGTGGTGAGACTGGATGATAGTTTTTAATAGAATTGAAACTCATTTTACAATGTTGTTTAGCCCAAGTTTGGTATGTTAAGAAGAAACACTTCAAGAAGCGTCTCATGATAAGTAAGTGTTCAAAATTCGTAGTACAAGTGGTCGAAATGATATTGATAATGATATTTAAACACAAGATAATGATATTTAAACAATTATTTAAATATCGCAGGTAGTAGAGTTCATCAAGCACGTGGAAACTTTGTCATTGCACAAAGTCTGCGCCCGATGAAGCTTTACAAAGTCTGCATATAAGAAAGAAGAAACCATACACCTCAAAAAAAAGAACGCGAAATAAAGCCTTAACATTAATATTCGCCACTCCACTGATTTAGGAATAAGCTTTGATATCGTCAATTGTTTATTAAAAACGTAATTAATACACTTCTAGTCGTGTCAATTTTAAAATTAAGACAAACTGGAACTGGACTGCTTACAGTTACTGAAGGAAAGGCGAAATGATACTCTATTTTGTAACTAAAAAACAGGACCATTGAACACTGTCCGTATTCAATTGTCCTGTTTGTTTAGGAGGATTAGACCACAATTAAAAAACACCTGACCTTTCATTAAATAATATATGTTTTTATTGCTCTTACTTGTGCTGTAACTAGGTAATTCGGGGAAAGTAACTTTTCGGCTGACAAAAAAATAAAGTATTTTAATAACGGCCAACGCATCACTAAATACATGGGTTTTAATCTACACAAATGTCTTAAATTCGGTGAAATGGTACCATTCAATTTTACCGGACCGTGTCTACTAGGGATGGGTTATGTTTCAAATGTCGATAACGCTTTTTGAACATGTCTGGTGAAATACATAGCTTTTGTTTCATAAAATTGGACAATATTGTTGTGATTTTATTTCTTCCTTAATTTGTATAAAAAATGTTGATCTTGTGATGTGCTATGTTGTTGCTGATGTGCTATGCGGAATAGTTTAGTACAAAGTGAAGTTTTAAATGTACATTATATAATTAATTCGAGGTCGATCACCAATCAAGTTATAATTTATTCTGGGAAAAAGCATAAAGAAACGTGTAAATGTAAAAGAAAACAAAAATACGCAGTTTAAATCAAATGGTTAAGTCGTTTTTTTTACTATATTTAAAATAGCGATAGTAGTTTTTATGAAATATTTAAATTAAGGGAATAAAAACAATATTACTTTACACATTATTCAGCGATAAAAATTGCACATCGACCTTTAAAAAGAGATAATCAGCTGATTTCGGCTTCGTAGAGCGTCATCTTTGTCACACTGTCTGTGTCCCATGTTCTACTTGTGATAGAAATTACAATATGCGTGATGTTAAGTGATTACCATTGCTCATCGACATCTACAATGAGAAGTGTAATAATTACTCTTCACTTATTCTTAATTTTATATCGAATACAATCGCTATGTCCAAAGCATATCTTTTACGAAGAAGGCATAGCTAGTTCAAGAAGAATATCGAGAAAGCAGTAAATTATTAGTAACGATTTCGATATATCTATCATAGGGCGTCACTAAAGTTTAGACGCATAGCATCAATACAAGTGATAATTTATAGGCGATATATTTTTGGGATTAGTTGGAAAATTATTTCAAGTTTCGGCCGCGTTAAGTTATGCCTCGGTTAGTGACCGTTCCACAAGTTATTAATTTTATTCCCCCATTGTCAAACAGCTCTTGCTACCGTCCATAATGGGATTTTGGTGATGGCTCACGACGGACTTAGATTTTATGATTTTAGCTGAGCATCCGTTACAGACCTTTGTGCTCTACTTACGACGACAGAATTACAGCTGATCTTGCTCCTGCTATACAGCCAAACTGTCTGAGTACCTAGGATAACCAGACCCACGTAAATTAAATAATTACTTATTATAATATTTATTATTTTATTTTTTATCTGTAGAGAGACTGATGAGAGAGGATGATGATGATGACGATGAACCATAGTAAAATGTATTTCTGCCTTTTCCCTTCTG